TAATGCAGGAGCTGCCGGTCCCCGCCGCCCTTCACCCGGCCCCAAAGAGCACGGCGGCCCCTGCTGGCAGCCTCGGGCAGCCGGGGCCACCGAGGGCCAGCCCCCTGCCTCAGAGCTGGCTGGGAGGCAAGGGCAGGGTTCGATGGGGATCCAGAGCACCGGGGGCTGCACGGGAAGGGAAGAGGGAGCAGGACCAGGCTGGGATCCAGCCCTGAGTGTCGCCCCAGTCCCTTTCCTGTCCCTGCCATTCTGTCACCTTAATAACCATAATAATACTACCACTTCTGGGGCCCTAGCTGTGTGCCAGGCCCAGTGCAAAGTGCGGCTCCCGGCCCTGCCGTAGGCGGTCCGCACAACCAGCCTCTCCTTTCAACCAGCAGGTCCTGCCATCATCCCCACTGCAAGGCAACAGGGGTGCTGAGAAGTCCCGCGCTCCTCCGGGGCACTGACCCCAGTTTGCAATTACGTGTTTATTCTCATATTGTGCTACTCATCGCTTCCTCCCTTGCCGGACTAAAACTCAGGGAGGGACAGGCTGTTTGGGCTTCTGTCCGGCACCATTCCCTCAGCACCATGCAGCCCTTCAATAGACAGCTATCTGTTGAATGAATTAATTAAACCCCATAATCCGCCCAAGGTCCCCCCAGCTGCTGCGTGGCAGAATGGGGCTAACAACGCAGGAAGTCTGGCTCCAGAACCATGCCATCACACCATCCACCCTGCAGAGAATCCCTGCCTGCTTCCCCGCCCACCCTGCTCCTTCTTCCAAATGCAGGAGATGGAGACAAAGATGTGTGGGGGCAAGGAAGGAGCACTCTGCGCAGCCAGACTCCAGGAGAGCCGGCTTGCAGCATGGCCAACTCTCACATGCTTACCTCCCAAACTCCCTCCTGCCCCACTGAACCCTCAAACCTTTGCTGAGCTCCTCAGATAATAAAAATAATAATAACATCATCACCTAGTTAAATCACAAAGCATTTTCACACACCAGCCCTGTGCCAAGCATTGGGTCCTCTACGTGCATTGGGTCCCTTAACCCTCACCACCAACCTGCAACACAGTCATCCTCCCCTTTTACATATGGGGAAACTGAGTCTCACAGCAGATGGAGTGATGGCACCAGGGGCCTGCCACCAGTCATGCAGAGCCCAGCAAGAAGCCCAGGGCACCTGCTACTGGAGATGCAAGCCCCACCTAAAGGCAGCATCCTCTGCAGAGTGCAGGTCTCCGCCCCAGGAGACCATGGTACAGACATGGCTTCTGTCTGGCCCCCGACCCCTCCCCATGACCACCATCCAATCGTGATTTGGCATTCCAAACAGGCTGCCAAACAATCTGTCTGGGGTGCCCTGGGAAGTCTTCCTTGGGCCTGACCACCCAGCCCCATTGAATGGGGCCTCCAGTATCAGGGGGCCAAGCCGGGAAAAGGCAAGGGCCCTCCAGGCCTCTGCAGCAGGCAGGGAGCTAGGGCAGTGGACCAACTGGCCAGGGGGCAAGAGAGCGGGCCCCCAGAAACTGATGAACAGCAGACCACGCTGGGCTGGGGGTGCAAATGGAAGCCAGTGGGCCTTCCCCAGGGTCCTTCCTGGCCTTACCATCCTCAGGCCTCTCCCATCTCTGCACCCTGTCCCCACAAGCCTAGAATGCAAGTGCCCGCCTGGGGTGGAAGGGAGAAGCAGTGTCCCCCCACACTACACTCTCTTACCACACTCTCCTGGATGCTCTAGTCTAAAAGACTTTTTTAATTAAAAAAAATCCAACTGAAAGTCAAAGTCCTTGAGTGGGAGAAAAGACAATTAATAGTGGCCACAGCTGGGTCCCTCTGAGGCTGAGTTCTACAAAGAGATGAAGCTTCCAGGCCTCCTCCACCACACCCCTAACCCTCACTCTGTATTTGAATTGTTCCTCGGCAGTGAATTATTCAGCGTCGCTTCCTCACCCAGCCCACCAGCCCCATAGTCCCTCTGGCTGAGCCAATTTCCTCCACAGCTCTGGGGCCTGCACAGCCTCTTCCCAGATGTCCCTGCAGCACACCAACTTCTTCCCACCTGGGGGGATAGGCCTGCACCCAGAGCTATGGGATATAGGATCATAAACTTGCCAGGCCTCACAGGCTGCCATAGAAACTGCCCACGAGACAAAAGGCGAATGCACAGCTGCAGTCTCTCCAAATTTCACAGCCTCGGGGGCCGCCGTTCCGGGCCCCAGTACTGCACGATGCCCATATCGATGAGAGAGAGCGTTTGCTACAGTTATTTTGAGTCTGGCTGTGTTCTCACCAAGGCCTCTTTTTGGGGTGTTCTTTTCTTCCTCAAATGGCTCTTTTGAGGCCTACCTGCTGCAAAGTCAGGCTCCCTCTGTTTTCTACATCCTTTCCGCACCCAAGAAGTTTTGCACACAGCAAAGACCAGACCTCCCCTGACTCCTCCACAATAACTCATCCGTGGATTCCATCCCCGAAGTCCCCAAAGGGAAAATCCAGGGAAAGAGGACTTCCTGACTCTTCCCAGCCTTCCCAGCCTCAAGCCCCATCACATCAGACTGGACACACCACACTGGGGGACAGCTGATCCGTTCACCCATCAGGCTGGCTCAGGCGCACCTGCAGGCCTTTTGCTCATGCATTCCCTCTGTTTGGGCTGCCTGCGCTCTCTGCTGAGCAGGCTCCCACCAACCACTCTTGGGTCCCAAAGTGTGCTAATAAAATGGTCTATCCTCTGAGAAGCACCTTCCCCCCAAGAAAAGTGCTTCCCACCCCAATGCTCCCCACCACAGCCCCATCACACTGCTAGCCTCACCCTCTCCCAAAAGCTTACAGTTAGGTGTCCCCTGTCTGGGCCTCTCAGCTGTATGTCCCTTGAAGGCAGGGACTTGCTCACTCCCTGCTGGAGCCTCAGCACTGAGGGCAGTTCCTGGCCCTGTAAACGTTTGCTGAATTAAAGAACAAGACGCTTCTCCTGATCCTATTGTAATAATGCCTCTCACTCAGTGAGCATCATAATGAACTAGGCACTTTCCACACATTATCTTTGGTCCTCACAAGAACCAGAGACTTTTGTATCAGCAGTCCCATTTTCTGAGTGGAAAGCAACTAAGGCTCAGAGAAGTTAAGTAACTTGCCCAAGGTCACACAGCAACCTAGGCCGTTGGACCCCAACTCTTTCTTTTCACTAGGAAATTTCACTTCCATTCCACTCTGATTGCAAGAGAGCTCATGAGTTCCTGAACATCAAAAGAGACACTGTCCTCAAAACTAAAGGTGGAGAGAAAGAGCAAGGAATGAGATGACTTCAAGATTCAGATCCAAAAGCAAAGGTAAGGGGCTACTATGTCTCAGAGCTAGGCTGCTACCAGGGTAACAGCTGCAGGAGAAATGCCCTGTGGACGAGGCAGAGGAATGGAGAAGAGATCCAGAGTAAACAGGTGTAGAGAATGACCCTGCAACCTCAGGGGTCTTCTGGGCAGATTTCTGATGCCCAGTCCCTCTCCACAGCCACATAGCATAATGCACAGGAAACTTGATTCGGTCCAACCTCTCTCCACACCAGCATCTCTCCCCAGCCCCACAACACACTGTCCTCACACACACCATCCTCTCTCTCTCTCTCACACACACACACACACACACACCAATTCCCATCTAGATTGCATCTAGATTGCAAATTCTCTGAAACCTCCGTGGGAATTTTTCAGACTCAGCCAAGAAGAGTCTAGGGCAAATGTGTGCTCACTAATTGCTGACCTTGGTACGGAGTTTGATCCAGGAGACAGCTCTCCCCAGGGTCAAATTTCTGCCTCTGGCCGGCTGGGAGCCATGAAATTGTGCTCAAGTTATCGAAATCTGTACGCCTTTCCTGAGAGCCACTGCAGTTGCCCAGGAGTGTGGGAAGGAGCATGCAGGTTTCAGAGGAGCCAGCAGCCTTCTCCAAAGTCCAGTTCAAAAATCTCCTGAGGCAGTCAGCTCTGCAGGCAGCACAAAGGCTCCCGCATATGACCAAAAATCCACACACACGCCCACGTTACAGGGACTCTCACAACCCCCATTACTGAGGTGACACCACGGATACTAGGAATTCACACAGAGGCACATTCTGCAGGAGAATCTAGCAAAGCAAATTATATAGGTCCATATAAACACATACACGGTAACCATACACACACACACACACACACACACACACACCCTACAAAGCTCAGCGGGTCTAGAAAGGACCGAGTTTCCTCAAGAATTTAGAAGTGAAAGAGAATAAGGGAAGAGAAATGATTTTTTAAATGACTTTCCATGGTCAATGTCTCCACTCCAGGCTCCTGACCGCTCAGCATGATTCACGGGGCTCCCAGTCCAGATCACACCTACCCCTTTCCGGGTGTCGATGTAACATATCCCAGGCCCCAAACCCAAATCCCTCAGGTCCCATTGTCTGCCTGGGTTGGGGATGGCTGGATGGGAGTTGGGGGACCAATGCCTGACACCTGCAAGAGAATAATTCTTAAGGCTCTGGGACAAACAATGGGGAGGAAGGGGAAGCCTGGAAACTTCAACTCCATCCCATCTTGCTGCCCATCACCTGCCTCAAAGCCCAGTCCACACACAGTGCTCAGAACACAGCCCAAGATCCATGTGCCCAAAAGGAGATATGATGCCTGGCAGTGTGAGGAGCTTCCCCCTGGGTGCCAGGAAGGCTTTCTGGCACCAATTCCCAGCACCCTGGAGGAATAAAGTGCTGGCGCAGTGGGATGGGCCTGCCAGTGCTGAGTGCAGGGTGCAGGTGTGAGGTTGGGAGCCGCCAGCCCCGCCAGGGCCCTTTGAATCCCTGGAAAAGGAAACAGTGATGCCGCTGGCTCCTGGCTCGGGAAGGACCCTGGCAGGCACTGACCCCCCTGTTGGCTGCGGAGCCCGGGGCCCCAACGGTGCTGCCCCCACCCCAGCCCCGAACTGCGTCTGGGTGGGAGGGCAACCTCGGGGCTCCCTGCGCGCTGGGGCTGGGGGCCGTACTCACAGGCGCTCCGTGTTCCGTGGGATGTTCTTCGGGATGGCCTGCAGCCCCGCGCCGTGGCAGTCCACCGTGGTGCCGGTGCAGGTGCAGAGGGCGGGGCACGCGGTGGCACCCAGGCGCCAGGCGGCTGCCCACAGCAGCAGCCAGAGCTCGGGCCGGACAAGCCCCGCCGAGGGCCCCCTCCGGGGCGTCAGCGCCATGGTGCCCTCACCGCGTCCCGCTTGTGTGCCAGACGGCGGCGGCCGCTTACCATCCCCGTCCGGGGCGGCCTCCAGGTGCAGTCCCGGGGCAGCGCCACCGAGGAGGCCCGTGCGCGGCGCCCTCACGGGCCGGGAGGCACCTTGCTCCTCCAAGCGACGGCGCCTGTGTGCGGACCGAGGGAGGGCCCCTGGGCGGAGGGCGCTCGGCTCCTCTCCGGTTTCGCGCTGGCTGCGTCTCCCTCTCCCCCTCCCGCCAGCTCCCAACTGACTGCTGCGAGGAGGAAAATGGGCAGGCCCCGCGCGCGCACGCACCCCGCGCACACACACACACACACACACACACACGCACAATCACACACTCACACCCGCACCGCTCGCTCCCACCCGGCAGTCATCCATCAATCGAAAAGCACACATCCAGGGCCAGACTCCTCCCCGCCCTCCCCCAGCACCCCCCTCCCCCGCCTCCCGAAGACCACTCGGCGGCTGCAGCGAGCAGCGCGTACAGTTTCAAAGGTGGAACCTTCGAGGCTCCGCGAGCGGCAGGGGGCTGCGGGGGAGGGGATGGGAGAATGGCCACGGCCGACCTGCCCAGTCTTGGCCCTGGCCAGCTATACACACACACACACACACACACACACACACACACTGAGAGTATGTGCACACTTAGACGCACGCGCTCGGACGCGCAGCCCAGGCAGCTGGGCCAGAGTGCTGGAGGGAGATCTTATTTGGCTGCCTGGACCCCTTCCCCAGGGCCACAGACATGCTTTCCCCGACGGCAGAAACGCTTCCCAGGGCCCACCAGACTTGCTTTGTCAATACTCGGTGAAAGCAAGCCCCGTGCCCCAGGTCTCCAAACCACCTGCCGTACTTAGCCTAGGACTTGGAGGACAGAGCCTGGGGACAGGAGAGGGGTAGTGTACAAAAGCCCTAGGCCAAGTACAGTCTTCTCCCCTCCCTCCACCAAGATGGCAGCAACCCCATTTGTCTGATGAGAAGCCTGAAGCTTGCTGCACCCAGATGAAAATGGCCCTGATTTGGACCTTTGCACTCAGGGAGATGTTATTTCTCCCCATTGGACTACACTGGCTTCCCAGGTGGGGGTGAGGGGGTTGGCAGAGTATCAGTGGGCGTTGGAAATCCAGCAAATATCTTCCTCCACTCACACCAGCATTCTTCCATTTCTGACAGATGAAAATGAATGTTCAGTCCTGTCACCAGAGGGCTGCAGAGAGGGCTGGAAAAGGGCTGGGTGGCCTGTTTGGGAGAGTAGCTCCGCAGACCACCATTGTCAGACCCCCTCCTTCTTACTCTAAGGCAGGTGTAGACAGAGGTGTGGACATGGGTGTGAACAGGAAATCCAGATAGGGAGAGAACTATGCTCAAGCCCAGAAAAGATGAAGGACCTCCCCAAAATCAAGAACAGACGTGGTTTGCCAGTGCTTTATAGGATCCAGACATCCTTTGTCCATCGGTCCCCTGATTCCGGGCCACCTCCAGGGTGGCAAGAAGAAACACTTGAGCAGCTCAAGAAGCACCTCCCTTCCCAGGAGTTGGCTACCTGGGTTTCCCCTTGGGAGAAACCAGAAAGAAAGGTAGCTGGTCCAAGAGATGCCAGGATGAGGCACAGCAGGGATACCGCTTGTCAGAGGGGGCTGGTGGGATGTGGATAGGCTCCGCAAGATTAAAGCCTTACCCACCAGGTATCCAAGACTTGGGGGTTTTCTTTGTTTTTCTTTTCCATTTGATGAAAATTTTACAGTATCTCTACTCTCATAGCACGTATAGAACTGTGGCCTGTATGTCACAACTAATGTGGCTGGTGTTACGGGCTTTTGACAGTTCTTTTTAAAGTTTTTACACACTCCTGGCCTGACCTCCATCCAAGGCCATCGGTTCTTCAGCATCAGTTCAATCACAGCTCAGGAGGAAGGGGCTTTCTCACGGGTCCCCAGGGGGTGTGATCTTAGAGAAGCTCCCCACAAATTAAGCCAGAGCTCCTCAGCCTATGAGGGCCTCCTCAGTGCTCTCCCTCACAAATTTCTCCTGCTTCTCCGCAGGGTGCTCAGCCCCCCTCTCCTCACGGGCCCTCCCCTGCTGCCTCAGGCAGAGTTAAATCCTCATTCCTCTGAGCCTGCCGCTTTGTTTATCCCCTCTTAGCTGGAACTGTTTACACATGTGGCTCCTTCCCGGACACTCCTTCGGGGGCAGAGCCCCCCCTTCCCCTGCGGCTTACTCATTTCCTCACTTGGGCACTTAACCCAGCACCTGCACTTAGTAGGCCTGTCACAGATGGCACTCCGACTGTTGAAGACATCCAGTTTCCAACCTTCAGCTCCAGCGGTGTCTCCCCAGCACCGTGACCTCAGAGGGCTCCTCAGAAGCCAGGACCCATGTGGGGAAGAGGGAGGGTGTTGATTAACTGGGCCACATGCCCTGGAGGCTTCAGAGTGGTCGGGTGAAGGGGCGGAAGGAGGGGTGGGAGTGGGCAGGGGGCGGCAAGATCGGTCCTGCCTGTGTCTCCCAAGAGCCAGCCAGTGCCCTAGAAGCTTCTAGACTAGCCTGGACAGTGAATCCCAAATTGTCCCCACCTGGCAAAGCCTGCCCTTTCCTATAAAGGAGAGGGAAGGAAGGAGGGCCCCTTCGGACCCAGGACAAAGACTCCCCACGCCAGCCTAGCCATGGGAGGCCCTGCCCCAGCAGCCAGGCAGCTCCCCAACTTGGCTCCTATCCTCAGTTCCTCCACCCCAGAACCTGGCTGGCTCCCCAATTTGGGAGGTAGCTAGCCATGAATGAACGCAGCTCATTAGCGTTCCTAGCACATTTACTCGTGAAACAACGGCCTGGCTAGCAGCTCCCCCTCCACCCCTACGCTGCTCTGCTGGTTCAGTTTCCTCTCCCAGGCCCCTCCCTCTGTGGGATCTCCCTACCCCCTCCCTACAGCAGGGCCACCTGCTCCCTCTGCAGGGGTGGGGAGGAGGCAGCCCCGTCACATTGCTTCTGCCAGGAATTCTCTGCCAAAGCCCACTGGCCACCATCAGGGCAACCCCTGGGTGGGGGGGCCCTGCTTGGGACTGGGTCTCCCCATCCCGGTGGTGTGAATCTTCTCCAATGCCCTCAGCCATGCATGCTCGGGAGTTGAAGGCCACCTCCTCCTGCCTGTGACTCGGGGAGACTTTGGGGAGTGCCTCCTTCCAGCTTTCTGCACAGGGCCCTCTCCTCCACCTCCCACAGCCCTTCTGAGGCACCAAGAAGCAAGAGCCTGGGTGAGGCTGCCCAGTGGCTTGGATTTCCAGACTGCAAAAGGCAAAAATGAGACAAATTCCTGCTATCTGGGCATTTGTTAAACAGCATTTCTTAAGTATCTAGGTACTATGTGCCCGGAACTGGGACTTGGCAATTGCACAGGGAATAAGAGCTGCCGTGGCGGGGCGCCTGGGTGGCTCAGTCAGTTAAGCGGCTGCCTTCGTCTCAGGTCATGATCCCAGGGTCCTGGGATCGAGCCCCGCATCGGGCTCCCTGCTC